ACAGGAAATTAATTCAAGACCCCTCTGTTGTAACAGAGTTCTAGAAACAGTATTCTTTTTCAGCCAGAGAATAGTGTTGTTCTTTTTATCTCCTGGGTAAGAGATGCTACTGACCAAATATTTATGCATATTCTAATAACATTCTAAGAATAGCTGCAGTTGCACAAATCCTTAAAAGGTTTAGTTTTGCTAAGAACCAGCAGCTTAACCTTGTTATCCTACCTACTCAGGAGGCAGGGATCAGGAGGATCACATTTTGAGACCTGCTCAGGCAAAAAAGTAGGTCCTATCTCAAAAATACCCAACACAAAAAAAGGGCTTGGCAGAGTGTCGCAAGTGTGAGACCTTGAGTTCAACCCCAGTACCACCAAAATAAATAAATAAATAAGGGGTAGTTTTGTTTACAAGTGTGTGCAGAACTACTCTTAGGATATTAGACAGATACTGTTCTAATTCACTTTCTTAAACTTAAGACTTGCTAAAGAAAGCAAGCTTTTCAGAGAACTCACAAGAGAGACTATTAAGAGCTACAGGCACAATTGCCACAGAAATGGGATACTACCTTAGTCAATATTCTCTGGTTACTGGCTTAGTCCTGAACTAGAAAGTACCAAAAATTAATACCAAACAGACCAAACTCATTCTTTTGAGATTTGCAGTTCTAAAATACAGCAAATTCTTAAGTCAATAAGCTTTGCACATTAAAAGGTGCACAGTTGTAGAACCAGAAAGGCAAACTTCCACAGATCTCATTTAATTGTCTTACTACATTGTCCAGTAATAAAACGCACCCATAAAAAAAATACAAAAGGGGAGGGGAAGTGGATGCAGCAGTGCGCTGCACACCTGCATACCTCCCATCTCTGCTCACTTGCATTCTCTCCCACCTGTATGTTTACGGTTTGAATTGTTGGTATGCCATTTCAAAGTGCTGGGGTGAACCATTTGAAAGTTACAAACATCATGACATTTCATACTTAAATACCATAACATGCATTTTCACGGAATAAAAACAATGCCCATAAAACTACGACTATCGTTTTCAAATCTCTGAAAATTAACTGTAGTAGCCAGCAAAAAAGCATTCACTTGAAGAATGCCTTTTGAAATATGGGGTCTTTATTTGTTTCTATGCCAGAATCCATTTAAAGACCATGCATTTTTCCCCCGATATTGACTCCTAAGAGTACACGCTAGGAATCTTGTAAAATATTCCATATTATGTATACTTTTTCATGGTGTCATTTAACTTGTTCCTCAATTCCCTGCATTTCCTGTAACCTTCAGGTTAAGTTTATGTGCTAGAATATAAAGGATTAATTTGATTCAAGAGAAACATTCTTTGACAAAAAAAAAAGGCCAAGCATGGTGTACACACCTTTAATCCCAGCACTCAGGAGGCTGAGGCAGGAAGGGTCATGAGTTCTAGACCAGTCTAGGCCACACAGGAAGGCCTTTTCTCTAAAAACAAAACAAAAAATTTTAATGGCAATATATACAATATGTCAAGTATTATGAATCACTAACTCAAGAAAAAGGCATGAGTTACAATTTTTTTTGCCAGTACTGGTGTTTTGGGGAGTTTTTTTTTTTTTTGTGATACTGAGGTCTGAACTCAAGAGCCTCACATTTGCTAGGCAAGCGCTCTACCACAAGCCACTCTGCCAGCCCTTTTTTTTTGTGGTGTTGGTTATTTTCGAGATGGGGGTCTCTCAAACTACTTGCTCTAGGCTGGCTTCAAACCGTGATCCTCCTGATCTCTGCCTCCTGAGTAGCTAGGATTACAGGCAGGGACCATCAGTGCCCAGGTGAGTTATAACCTCCAATGAGGTAGCAAAATCACTATTTTTAACACAAACTAATCCCTTGAATTCTTGGAAACTACTCTAGAAATACATAGTGAAACATTAAGTATATCCTTTGCCCCAGCACTTCCAGAAATTTATCCAACACAAATAAAAAAGTGAAAAAGATACAAAGACACAAAAAAAATACAAAACTAAGCCAGTGCCAGTGGATCACACTGCAATCCTACCTACTTGGAGGCTGAGATTGGAAGGATCACAGGTCGAGACCAGCCTGGGCAAATAGTAACACCCATCTCTAAAATAACCAAAGCAAAGTGGACTGGAAGCATGGCTCAACCAGGAAAGCATCTGCTCTGCCAGCATGAATCCCTTAGTTCAAACCCCAGTTCTACAACAACCACCAACAAAAAAAAACCTCGAAATTTTGTAATAGCAAACAATTAGAGGTAACATGTTTGAGGAAAATGTGTTATCATCATAGATGAAATATTACATATTTAAGGTGGCAAATTTGGGGCTAGCAGAGTGCCTGCCTAGCAAGCACAAGGCCTTGAGTTCAAACCCCAATACCGCCAACATCTTATTCCACAGCCTCTGGTCAAAAACAGCCAACCACACAACTCAAAAATTAAAAACCCCCAAACTTATCACAAAGCCACTCATTTCTTTCCCATGCTATCACACTAATAGAAACTAACAACTCCCACATGGAATAAATGTTGCAATAGCCTAAGTACCAACCTGGTATAAGTCTATTTCTCTTGCCTTTCTCAAAGAAATACCTTCTCCTCACAAAAGCCAATCATTTTTAAAATGTGCACCTATACAAAAATGCTTAACATGATTTACAAAGTCTGCCACAGTCTAGTACACACTGCCTAACTCCTCAGATTCATCTCACTCATCTTCTCAAGTGGCTCAAGAGTTTCATGATCCTTTCAATCTGCCAAGTATGCTAAACTCTTCTTTCTTCAGCCCTTTCCTGTTACTTCTGCTGGAACCACTCTTCCTCAAGCCATCATTATCTCAAAGGTAAGGCTTTTTTCTCAGAATCTACATGGTATTTTTTGTTAGCATGATGTAGCTAGTCACCTATTTTAGGCAAATTTAACTTCCATCAAGACTAACTTATCTGAAAACAACTCCTTAAGGTTCAAATGAAATTCATGGTAAAACTACTGTTGCAGCTGCTGTTTGTCTAAAACAAAAATAGGAGGATAAAAGGAAGACTAATAACACTGTCTTTCCCAATCTTTGGGATTCTCTTCAGGTGTCCCCTTGGGAGGTAAAGTATATCCAATTTTATGTCCATTTCTAGGCATGGTAAGGACCAAGAAACTACATGTTACTCAGTGTTCTAGTCTTTTTCATTCCTTAGGGAGACTATCTTCAGAGATAGAAAACTAGGACCCAAAATGCCTACAAACTTGAATACTTCTTTTTAAAAAGCACTTACACAATACACTTCCATGGAAATACAAATTAGAATACCCATTATTTAAAATTATAAAGGGGAATGGAGTTTGACTGGTAATGTGGTGGTGGTAGGTGGGTAATAAAAATGCTCTAAAATTGACTGCAGTGGTAATTGCACTGTTTTGTTACTAAGAACTATCAAACTGTACACTTCAAATAGGTGAATTGTACATTCAGGTAAAACACCTGAAGTAAGCCTAAAGGAGGTAGGCAGAGATCTAACAAAAGTCTTCTTAGTAGTAAAATGAGTAGCATACAAAGTGATCTACTTGGGCGAGAACCCTGCCACACGGAGTGTGATTTAAAAATTCAGGGTGAAAAAGGATGGGCCTCAGAATTGAGACTTTAACAGCCACACTGAAAACCTGGAAATAACATGCAGTTTATTACAAAATCTTATCTAAATGGAAAACAACAGGTTAAAAACTATCTACATGGGATGGGAGAAATAAGAGGTGATACAGGCCTATAATGCCAGAACTTAGGAGAAAGAAGAAGGACTGCAAATTTGAGGGCTACATAGTGAAATCCTGCCTCAAAAAAAGAAAAGCTGACTACATGTACTCAAAAGGATGGCTCTTTTTCACTCTAACCAAGGAAAAGACCTGGGTGAGTCACCTTTTTTGGAGCTCTGTCTATACTGGTCCCATAATGTACTATAGATTCTAGAAGTCAAATAGAGCCCTTGAGTCATTCACTAACAATTGTGGCCAACACCCAGCTGGAATTTATTATTGTGAAAAAGCAACGCTATTAAGGGAGTAGATACCCAAAGACCCAAGACCCCCATCTCCAAAATAACCAGAGCAAAATGGAGTGTGGCTCAAGAAGCAGAGCACCTGCTTTGCAAGCTCAAAACCTTAAGTTCAAACCCCAGGCCCACCAAAAAGAGAAAGAAAACGTGGAAAAGTCTAGAGATGTAGCCTTGTGGTAGAACGCTTGCCTAGCATGCGCGAGGCTCGGGGTTCCATCCCCAGCACGGCAAAGCAAAAAAAAAAAAAAAAAAAAAAAAAAACCTCGCCAGGCGTGGTGATTCATTGCTGTAATCCCAGCACTAGAGAGGCAGAAGCAGGAAGATCGAGAGTTCAAGGCCAGCCTGGGCCAGACCGTATCTCCAAAAAAAAAAAAAAAAACCAATTTATTTTTTTAAATCCCTTCTAATATCTACCCATTCTACCACAATCTCAAAAAATTCAGGATCCATTAGAGCCTGAGCCTCTTGTGCTCAGGCACCCTCTCTTCAGGACGCCACCCCGCCCCCACTCACGTGGGACTCGGACCGCTTCAATCTCGCGGACAGCAATCGCCAGAACCTGTTTAAGTTAACTTTTATTAAGCACCTGCTGTGTGCACTACTCCAAGCCCTGCTTTGGGCTGAAGAAACGTCACCAAGCCCTGGCCCGATCTGAACCCTCTACAAAAGGACTGTGGTCCACCTCCATCCCGGGTTTGCCTTCCCTCCAGTTCCTACTCGTGCCCTCCGCTGACCAGAGTACCGGCTCAAAGCCTTCGTTTGACCGGCGAGAAAAGCCTCGCGTCTGGCGCAGACCCACACTCAAAGAGGGTAGCAGTCACGGGTAACCTGGCACCCAGGGGTGGTTCCCTACCGTCAGGGTCCTTGGCTCGGAATGAAGACCCCCGGCCCGCATGCCCCAAGCCCAGGAGCTACCACCCCACCCCGGTGCACGCGGGCGGCCCGGCCCAGTCCACACTTACGGAGTGCAGCGGTCGCTATACTCATTAGCGATCGTCTCGATGCCACCGGCACGGGCCACAGCGACGTAGCAACTCTGGAAACCCAGGTCTATACCCACCACCGACATGGCGCCAGCTACTGCTCGGGCCCGGGTCCGGCCGCCGACACAGGACACGGACCCCGACGGGGTTGTCGCGCGGAGAGCGGGCCGCGTGGGCTAGGGGACCAAGGGTACCGGGAGACCTGGGAGTGTCCACGCGAGCGCCTAGATCCTTAGAAGGAGGACCGTAGCCGAGGGCGCTGTTCCGGCCGGCTCCGGCTCAGCAGCCACAGAGGAGGCGCCGGTAGCGGGGGCGGAGAAGATCTCGAAGGATCTCGTTGGGACGAGAGCAGAGATGCAGCGCGAGAACTGCGCAGGAACGGAATGTTCTCGCGATATCCCAACACAGAGGTTTTTTTCCTTTTGAGGCCCCGCCTCCGTGACGTAACGCGTGTATCATGTTCTGGCACTAGAATCTGGGAAGGACCTGGGTTGCGGAGAGATGTCTTGAACCGTAAGCTGGCGGGTGGAGTTCGGTTGCTTGGCTCAAAACGGCAGTGAGTTATGGGGCGTCTCCTCTTCCAGAAGAAAGTAGCAGAGCCGGCTAAAGACCACTAAAGAGGCGCCATCGGCCTACTGTTGTTTTTTATCTGAAAGAATCTCCGGTACTCCATTTTCTGTTGGGCCCCCAAAAGAGAAAGCAAGCTAATCTTCAAACAACACAGGGCTCTCTGCTCCCATTGGGTAGGTTGGCGGGCAGGAGACATGGCCGTCGTTTGGAACTCAGCCCTGCGCATGACCTTACATGGAGCTCTTGTCTATATTAAAGGCTGCACCCTCACCAGCAGAATGGAGGATTCCATTCCATGTGACACAGTCTTTTGTTTTCTTTTCTTCAGCCTAGTCTAATCCATTCTCTAAACCACTCCAGTCCTTAGATCAGAAAGTCAGAAACCTTTCGGTCCTGAACACATTCCAAGCACCTATCCAGTGCTAGGCCCTAAGCTAGATTCAAGGGACACAGATAGATGACATGTTACTAGCCTGGAAAGTCTCTCAGACTAGCGACAGGTTTAAGTGAGGCTAATGAATCTTAGGCTTTAGGGCCCCTCTATTTCACCAGATCCTGGAAGGGCAGCGAGTTGCTCCAAGTGACAGCGCTCCAGAGAGAGAGGGGAGGCCAGCTTGAGATTTGGAAGCAATTCTGTCTAGCACTTCTAATAAATTTCCTAAAGAGATTTCAGAATAAGGAGAATGTGAATCTCCAAGTCTCCGATAGTGTTCTTTGATTTCTTGTTCTAAATATTTACTTTATGATATTTTAAGAGCCCCCAACAGGGCCCCTGCACATGCCTTGTACTCCGTGCTACTTTGAGAGGCTGGCAGAACAAGATCAGTTGGAGCCAAGAGTTAACCGACCCCTATCTCAAGAAAGCCGGGGATGGTGGTGCACACTTGTAATCCCAGCTATGCAGGAGGTATAGGTAGAAGGATTTTGGTCTGAGGCCAGCTCTGGGCAAAAAATGCGAGACACTATAAAAAAAGTAATAAAGCAAAAAAGGGGGTGGTTTAGAGTTCCCGCCTAGCAAGCAAGAGGCCTTGAGATCAAACCACAATACTGCAAGGAAAAAGAGTCCCCTGCAGCGTATTAGCTTCAATTCTACAAAACTTGTATTATTCCCCACCAGGAGGATAGCTATACAAAGGGTATCCTAGTACAAAGTGGCAAGAACTATAGGCACAGAATGGTGGACAGTGGGAAGACTTCCCAAAAAAGACTGTATTCAGTGTGGTTTGAAGACTACAACAGTTTTGTATTGCTGTGACTTGAAGGTCTCAGAACTGGAACAATTCAAAAAGTGAGCAGGATTGGAGGGCATGGCTCAACTGGTAGAGTGCCAAGCAAAAGACCCTGAGTTCAAACCCCAGTACTGCAAAAAAAAAAAAGAGTGAAAAATAGATTGTATTACACTGACACCCCACTCTTTAAAGGACTCAAATCTCTGGAGTTTGTGCTATCTCAAGAGGCACTTCAAACTCTGGGAGCAATATCAAAGCCCAGGTTGTTTGCCTTCAAACTTGCAAATTACCACAAGGTTCTTACATTTTGGCTAATGCAAACCTATTTTCAAAGACAAGTACCAGATGCTACCTGGTAATAGGGGTTAAAGGAGTGGAGGAAACAAGGAAAAGCCTTTGGGAAAAAAAGAGAACAAGGATAAATATTTGCATACTCTTGTATGCTTATTCACCATAACCAAAAGGTGGAAGCACCCCAAATGTCCGGTAGTAGATTGATTTTCAAAATAAAGTACATATATACCATGAAATATGCAGCAATAAATAAGAATGAACTGGGTGCAGGTGGCTTATGCCTGTAATCCTAGCTACTCGGAAAGCAGAGATCAGGAGGATCAAGACTCAAAGCCAGCCGGTGAAAATAGTTCTCGAGACCTTGTCTCGAAAAAACCCATCACAAGAAAGGGCTGGTAGAGTAGCTCAAGGTGTAGGCTCTGAGTTCAAACCCCAGTACTGGAAAAAAAATGAGATTCTGATACATGCTAAAACAGATAAACATTTAAATCATTATGCTAAGTGAAAAAAGCCAAACACAATTTGACAAATTTTGTATGATTCCACTTGTATGAGGCACGTACAATAGGCAAACACATAGAAGCAGAAAGTGGAATACTGGTGAACAAGAGTGTGGGTACAGTGCAATAAAGAATTGTTATTTAGGGATACTTGAGTTTCTGGTATGATGAAAAAACTCTGGGGATGGATAGTATCACCACTACCCATGATTGAACAATCATGTAAATATACTCAATGACACTGATTTTAAAACTTTTTTTCTCCTGTTGGTACTAGAGATTGAACCCAGGGCCTAATACATGCTAGACAAGCTCTCTACCACTTCAGTTATAGCCCCAGTTCTTTTATTTTGTATCTCATTTTTAAGATAGCAAACTTTGCCAAGACTAGCCTCAAACTCTTGATCCTCCTGCCTTCATGTCCTGTGTAGCTGGGTTTATAGGCATGGAACACCACACCTAGCTGATTTGTAAACTTAAAAATGATTAAAATGAGCCCGATGCTAGTGGCTGACACCTGTAATCCTACCTAATTGGGAGGCTGAGATGGGGAGCATCGAGGTTGGAGGCCAGCCCCAGCAAATACTTTGCAAGACCCCCATCTCCAAAATAACCATAGTGCCAAGCACTGATGGCTCACCCCTATAATCCTAACTACTCAGGAGGCAGGGATCAGGAGGATTGGAGTTTGAAGAAAGAACCTATCTCAAAAAAACCCTTCACAAAAAAGGGCCAATGGAGTGGCTCAAGATGTAGGCTCTGAGTTTAACCCCAGGTACCACAAAAAAAAAAGTAAAATACCATAGTAAAATGGGATAGAGTTATGGCTCAAGTGGTAGAGCACCTGCTTTGCAAATGCAGGACCCTTAGTTCAAACCCCAATTCCACCAAAAAATTAAAAGTAAAAATAATAGCCAGGCGCCAGTGGTTCATGTCTGTAATCCTAGCTATTCAGGAGACAGAGATCTGGAGGTTCAAAGCCAGCTGAGCAAATAGTCCAAAAGACCATATCTGGAAAAACCCCATCACAATAAAGAGCTTGTAGAGCGGCTCAAGGTGTCGGCCCTGAGTTCAAACCCCAGTACTTGAAAAAAATAAAAATAATAAAGAAGCTAGCCAGGTACCAGTGGCTTATACTTGTAATTCTAGCTTTTTGGCAGGCTGAGATCTGGAGGATCAAGGTTCAAGACCATCCTGGGAAAATAGCTCACCAGACCTCATCTCCAAATAACCAGAGCTCAATGGACTGCAAGTGTAGCTCAAGTCCTGCTTTGCAAACCCCAGTCCCACCAAAAAAATTTTTTTTAAAAGCTAATCTTTTTTAAGATTAACCTTGACCTACCTTCCTCTCCCTCCTATTTTTTTTCTACCTAGGGGAGGATGTACATAACACAAAGGATAGTACAGCTCTTAATTATGACAGAGTCTGCCTCTATACAGCCCAGGCTGCCTAAAGTGTCCACCACCTAAAAGACCACCATGACAGGATGACTGACTCTCTCTGCGTTCCTTCTTTTGGAAGGCCTCCCCAGCCATTAGCTAACTTGGCAAAAAAAAAAATGTATATCCATATCTTTTTATGTCACAGATTCATACCTCACCTGCCTTATTGGCCTTGGTGCTAATTTGCATTCGAAATACCACCAGCCCTATCACTCTTCTTAATGATTTGTCTCTCAAAATAAAATGTAACTAACATCAGTCACAGACTACTCATCCTGCTATAAATAGTTTCCTGGATCATCAAACTTATAGCTCAAGAGGCTATTCTGGGATATTTAAATAAATGAAGTCAGAAAAAGTTATTTGAGAATTCTTAAGAATCTAAAGAGGCAAGGTTCAAAGAGTCACAATAGAGTGAAGCAAAAAAGTTTCCAGACTATTTAATGTTGGAGGCATCAGGATTAGAGCACAAGTTATTTTCATTCAGCAAGTATCTTGACTATTTTAGAAGCAGGAAGTTTGTTAGATATTTTTCTCTGGTACAATTACTAAATTTAGTGCTGAGCAATCACCAAAGGTGTTTGTTTTTAAATGTACAGAAATTCAGAAACTGCCCACCAAACAACAAAAGGGTATGGAACTCATAATCCTCCGTCAAGTGTTCATTAGAATCCTGTCTTAGCCTCCAGAGTAGCTTCTGCAGTTGTTTGTGTCACGACGAAGCTAACTGCTCAGATAACAGTGTCTTTCTGACCTCTCTGGTCTCACAGTGAGTGGACCAATGTCCTTAGTCAAAACAACAACACTTTTTCAAATTCTAAACTCCAATAATTCAACAACGTAGTTACCATGTATTTCATTCCTAGTGTATGTGCCAGACTTTGGGCTCAGTGACATCAACATTATAATTTATTTAATCTTCATGGCAAACCCACCAGATAGGGGTTATTTTTCTCCATTTTATAGATGAGACAACCAAGACCTGATAAGGAATTCATTCAAGATCACAAACTTTAGCATTTGTCTCCTAGAAGACAATTTCCCTCCTACAATGTGTTCTTTTTTTTTTGGAGGGGAGAGTTTGAACTCAGTGCCCAAATCTTGAGCCACTCCACCAGCCCTTTTTTGTGATGGGTTTTT